TCTCTGGGTTAGGTTCAGAGACTGACAGCAAGGTGCACAGCAGTTACCTGGCGACTGATAGTTTGATTTTTTTCTGATTTCCACCGGGCACCTTTATCACAGTGTTCGAAGGGGCAACTGTTGTGCCAAAAAGGAACCTGACAATTGAAGAGTGGGATGGAAAAGTGGCGGGTGTGGAGAGCACAGGGACTTTACAGCAGCCTGCTTACCTTTCAGACAGAACTAAGAGCACCTGATTGTGACAACCTCCGGGAGAAGTTTCTGTAAGTGTCCTTCCCACCAGTTAGAAAGAATACAAGTGGGTGCATTTCACTTCTTAGTGGAGTTCGGCTTGCCCAATTTGGGAAACACAGTTTCGAAAAGAGGGTGGAAACAATGAGGTGGGGTGTTTGGTAATTTAAGCTGTAATCTCGCAAAGGCCACGATGTAAGTTGCAAACGCAGTACTTACTTGGCTGTTCTTTCATTTTACCCAGACCGCTCATTAGTGATACTGGCATGTAGGGTGGAACTTTCTGCTTAGTCACTTGGCTGTAAGTTGTGCCCTGGAACTTGGATTTGCCATGAAGGGGCAGGTAGGCGCCGCGGAGGAAAATGACGGAGTGGATGGAACTATTATTCCAGCGCCACCTGAAATCGTGGGCTCCTGGAGAAGCCCGGGGCGGGGAGGAGGGGGAAGGAAAGCATTTATGCCACAAACATTTCTTTAGTACAGGTACGCTAGGAAGATGCTGCTGAGATCGCTGCCTCTAAAACCAGCCTTTCGTGAGGCGTTCCTGGGGGGAGGGTGGGGCTTTTCAAACACTGGAATTCTTCACTTGGCTGGGGCTGTGATCTGTGGCTAGACAGTCTGGAGCATCGGGCTCCTCTGTGCTGGGGCCTTCCCCATCCGGACGCACCCACCTCCTAAGGTAAGGAGGGGCCCGAGGTAACGCAGCCAGAGATCTGAGCACTTTCTGGTCACCGGTAGCTGCTTCTGCCCTGTCTGCCGCTCTGCCCTCCACACCTGCGGGTGAGGAAGGTCTCCCCGGAGGGTGGGGAGTCTGCAGATCAGTCTTAAGACCCCAAGCCCACCAGCGCAGGGGAAGACATCCCCAACCCCCGGCCATCTTCCCCAGGAAGGCCAGCATTGAAAACGCGGTTAAAAGTCACCACTGGCCTCTGGCTTGCTTCAATCTGGTGTCACAAAGCATGGTTTCATCAGCGCTAACGTCGTACAAAGGACATTGGACTCCTTCCTTCCTTCCGGGACCCTGCTGTGAGGAAAAATGAAGGCTTCGACAGCAAACTGCTTTGCTTGAGTGGAAACTAGATTTGGAATTAGGCGTTGAGATAACTAAAGTCCATTTGCCTGCCTCCCTTTCCTCTGGTCACTTACTTAGGTCACTACTCGAGACTGGGGGATCCAGGGAGACTAGGGAGGTTTTCTGTTCAGGGTGGTTAGGACTTTACAAAACTTTATGATCAGATGATTTTGTGAAATGTGAGCTCGAGTTTTATGGGGAAACCAATGGACTCCCTCGTGGCCCTCTGCAAGGTTCACATTCACGTTATGCGAGTGTCCTGATTGGGAAAAAATGGGCACACAGGTGCCCACGGGCAGAAGTCTCTGGATAACTGTTAATTATAGAGAAACAGAGCAGAAAGCAAATTAAAATAAGCGAAAAAAAGAAAGAAAAAAAGAAAAGAAAAAGGAAGGAAAGGAAAATACTTTGAAGGCGCTTTTTCCATAGGAAAAAAATATTTTATTTTTTTAAGAACAAATTCAGTTTGAAACAGACGTGGAATGGGACCTCACGGATTCCGTTTCTGGGGGCTGACTGCAATGTGGAAGGAGGCTGGAAACCTAGGACAGGCCATTAAAATAAAATGAAGAAAGAACAAAAATATTTATAACTCAAGCATAATACTGTGTTACTTACAAATTGGACAACGAAATCTTAAATAAATATCCATGGTACATAATTACGGCACAAATATGCAGCAATTTGGCAACCTTTTATACCGTTTTTCTTTTCCTCATTACAGTGCAAAGGGGGGAAAGACACTGCCGTTTAACAAGCTGTAGCTAAATACATTGCAAAATTCAGATTTTATACAAAACATCTTGCTTAGACTTTATAAAAAACCAACATTGCTCTATGTACACAATCTGGGTAAGAAAAGCCATTTCTGTCTTGTTTTCATGTGTATTTTTATTAAAAAGGTGAATAAGGCTACTGTAACACCCCGAATCCATATACAGTAAAATCTGAACCCTATTTACAGCATCTTCAGTTAAACGTTATGGTGCAAATTCCAAAGTCAGGTGACTAGGGATGAGAATACAAGCAAGGCATTTACAGTAACTTTCCAAAGCGGCACCAACTTCAAATAAAGGGAGAGTTGGTAGATTGTCATATTCTGCACCAGACACAAAACAGACGCACAGAACACTTTTCCATTGGTTGCAGGTAACTCTTCATTGAATTCATCTGATTTTTCACAGTTTAGCATATAACCAAAAGGTAGCCAACCGATGAGACACATTTGATTTCATTAAAATCAGACTATTTCCCATGTTTCCCCTTCTTGCCCCTCTCCCCCATCCGAAAGGTAATTTTTGATGGCTTACAAGAAAATCTTGTACGAATGCACGTAAAGGAGAGGGTGGGGTGATGGAAAGAATTACATATGTACTGTGGCTGGTCACCATGGCAACCCTCCACAGACCTATGATATAGATATATATAATATATATTGTAGATATATATTATACATATATGTACACATGTATACCACTCACCCACTCACACACACACACACGCACTTTGGACCAACATCATTTTCAGGTTCAGGAAATAGAGAAGGAATAATTTCTGTGACAACTCATTTTTGCAGGCATTCACTGGAGGTCTGAGAACCTTAAAATGCTGTTGCTACATTTTTTTTTCTCCCAATTCAGAAAGCAAAGTGTTACCATAGTAACAGGACTATGTTAAAGATGTCTATTTTGCATAGCACATAAAAAGTAGGTTTCCTGTTTACTCGTTTTGTTTCCCAAAAGGGAGGGGGTGGGGAGGGGGTGGGGGAAGGGGGCCGGAGCTAAACTTTCAGCCCTAAGCCCCCTCTGAGGGGACCCGGTGGATTTTAGCGAACACTTCAGCCATAAGGCAAGGGAATACACAACACAGAAATGAAATGCCGGAACATCTTGCCACTGTTAAATATACGATGCGGTAACATCCATTTCCTGGTATGCAGGGCTTGTATTTCCTAGTCTACGGTTACGTGAGATGCCTTCAGAGGACTGGGTTATTTTTGTATTTACTCCCGTTATTGTTATTTTTGGAGTGATGTTGTTTTTCCCAGATGGAGCTGTCCAATTTTTCTTTTTTTAAGCACTGAGCGTTGGGACCACGTAATTGCCACAAGTGAATTTCACGTCTTTCTGGTGTGATTTGTGTGCAATCTTAAAATATATATTAGTACAAATCTGTCAGTTTCTATCCCTTGTGTTCTATATACCTGTTATAAATACGTGCCATCTTCCTCCCCCCTCGACATCATGATTTATTTCCGTCTTAAGGACTCAAAGAAGTTCGCAGTATGCGTCACCTGGACACAGCGTGCGGGCTGTGGCCTTGCTCAGTACCTCCGCGTCCGTCCTTGCAGCCGGACAGGACAGCACCGCCATAAACCAAAGTGTCGTGAGGCTCAAGTGGGGGTGCGGGGGGAGGGCACTGGGGGGGGGGGGGAATCTGACCTACCTTTCACATAGGAGAATGCCTCAATAACATGGATGATGATGGAATCACAGCCTGTTTGACCTTTGGCTTGTAAACTTCTAGGTCAGATCCGGCTCTCTGCTGTTCTCCTAAATGCTTTCCCTGTGTTTCATAAAATGTGATCAGTATAGCAGCTGAGTCTGCTTCAGACATCATCCAAAGCCGACCGACTCCTACAGCGCCGAGGCCGTGCGCCTTATTGCCAGTACGACAACAGTCCTGCCCAGATCTGTCATCGGCGGCCCTCCCGGCCCGCCCCTCTACGACAATGCCCCTTTGTCCTACCCAGCGGAGAGAGACTGTGCTCCTCCTGCGCGTTGCCATTTGATCGGCGGATCCCTTCCAAGGCGCCCCACCCCACCGCGTGCGTGGTGTCTCCTACTTGCCTCTTAAAACCTCAGCCAACCAAAGTGCTGTGCTACCTAATTGGGGTTCCCCCTCGACTTTCTGCTCCCGACGCACCAGCAGCAGCGTTGAACTGCATTTGCAGACAGCCCTCCCCACCCCCACCCCGGCCCGCCCCCTTCCATGAGCTCCTGGTCTTTCTGGTCTTCCGCAGCTGAAGGCTCCTTAGTAGCAGACGCAATTTCTAGAAGTGTAGGACCCATCGGCTCCAGCTGCCGTGGCGCGGGGGCAGGAGACTCCCAAGGTGAGTGTGCCAGCAGTGATGCGGGGTGTGGAGTGAGGGGCTCGCGCTGCGGGGCCCCGGAGGTCGGCAGGGGTGTGTGCAACAGTGAGGACTGGACGCGGGACCTCTGAAAGCCTCCCCCAGCCAGAGGTCTGTGTGACAAGTCCGGACGCTCCTCGGGAGGGACGCCCAAGGCAGAAGGCGGCGTTTCCAGGCCCCGCGGCCCCCGGGGGACACCTGCCCGGGATGCTCACGGCTCGCCCAGTCCCCCCCACGCCCGCTGCCGCTCTGTCGCCCTCGGCTTCCTGCAGGCCCAGGTGACCGCGGCGCATGGCTTGGAGGTGGAGGGGGGAGGCGGGCGCTGCGGTCCCATCGGGCACCTTCCACGCCAGTCTCCCGGCCGGCGGTGGGCGTCTGTCTTCACCGCGGTCCGGGCGCTACAGACTAGGTAAGCTGTCCAACTCAACAGGGCTCTTCCGAGAAGGAGTGCTCCCTCTCCCCCGCCGTGCTCCGGTCCATTCGAGACACGGGGGGGTCATCAAACCCTCCTCGGGGCGGTGGCGGGACAGTGGGCTTCCTCCGGGAAAGCGAAGGCACCGCCGCGTCTCAGACCTTGTAGTAAATGTTCGCCGGGCTCTGGGGAGGCATCTCCTGGACTATGTACACGGGGTGCCCGTAGTCCCCGCTGACCTTCTCGTAGTGGGGGCAGAACACACTGTCCGCAGTCCTCAGCGGGATGATAATGTCACTGGGCTCTGAGCCGCTGTTGTTGCCGCTGCGCTTGGGGGTGGCCAGCGTGCTGAGCGACAGCGTGGCCGTGTGCTGCGGCGAGTGCTTCCTGTGTCTCCTCCGGTACTTGAGCAGGAGCACCACCAGCGTGATGATGATGACGATGAAGATGATGCATCCTGAAGCAATCCCTGCGAATAAGGCCACTTCGGAACCGAGGATGTTGTTCCCCGAATGCCCGGCACTGCTGCCGTCTGTGCTGGAACCTGCGGCCGGGGACGGAAAGGAGCAGCCCAGTTACTGCTGTCCCTGCTCGGATGGCAGCCCCCCAGCCTCGGTTCCCAGCCGCGCACACCCAGCAGGACGTGGCGATCGCCCCAAAAGGGGACACGAACGGGACCCGGGCTCGCCGGCCGCTCTCAACCACAGGTGTCCCCATCCGTCCACCCTTGGGGACAGGAGGGGACAGGCTCCCACGCTTCCGCCCCAGGTCCTAAACCGCCGCCAGCCACAGCAGGTGGACACAAAGGAAGCGGCCACCTCTGGGGCCAGGGCTGACTGCCGTGCGCTGCCCCCCTTGCCCCTCTGGGCGCCGGCCTTCCCGAGCATCTCCCGCCGCCTGCTTTCTATAGACAAGCCCTGCCTGCTGCGCACTGAGGGGACCCTGGGGCCCTGGGAACACATGTCGCTCGTAACTCGCTTGTATTATTTGGTTTACACCTAAAATATATTGGGAAGGCAGCAGAAACACTCACGCTGAACACGCTGCCAACCCAAATGGGAAGCACTAAAAACTTGCCTGGCATCATTAGATTATCCATTTATCGGAGTGTCATGAGAATTTGACACATCTTGCCATTGAAAATTAGAAACAACAGCCTCCCTCCATGATGCTTGCAAAGCGGGGGAAGTGGCCTGCAGATGCTGACTGCACATGCCACCAACAGGCACGCTGGTCCCTCACACGAGACTGCTGACGTCGGGGAGCAGCTACTGTACGGAAATGTCATTAGCGTGGAAATAAATACGTAGCTATCTGCTCAAGGACCGGTACGAAAATGAAATTCAATGGCGGCCAACTTTATCCTGTATTCTAAACTTCAGCCAGTGATCCGACTGGTATTTTATTTTACGCTGAAAATGTGAAACAAAAATGTCAACAGTAACCACTCAAAGAACACGGCATTATGCGATATTTTAAGATGCCACCACCTAAAATGTAGAGGAGGATCAATCAGGCTCTTTGTGGATCAGACATAATTAGGCGAGGTATTAGAACATTAATTACATACATGTGAATATCGGCTCTACGCTACTGTTGCAACAGGCACGATTAAGTGTCTCCAATAAAAATAACCTTGGTCTGAGTGAGTAGTGCTCGTAATTGGCACTTGCATCTGATAAATTCTACTCTTCTGAATGGGAAACTTCCGTGGGAAGGCGCAATTCTGTTCTTATCGAGCCGTTAATAACAAGTACCTGCGAGCAAAGGTTACTGACTTGGGGAACTACAAGTTAATCCACTAGTATCCAAGGGCTTGGACTCTGTCCTGCCTCTTGCTCACGGGACCCATGGACGCATCCACACACACTCACGCTGCCATACCTGGATTTGGTTTGACAAAGGGACTTGTCGTTGAACTTCTTCCATTTGTACCGGCTTCTAGTTCTGGGCGTCGTGTCGGATCATTATGCCTGGTTGACCCAGCAGAACTCGCATCTATACGAGGAACAAATGATTACTTATAGCCCAGACACCTAATGAGATCTAGCTCTAAGAACTGCCGCGTGTCAATCTCAAGAGGCACAGACAGCAATGAACGTGAGATTCTTTATGCAAAGTGCTGTGACATACAAGAATAGAGTTCTCCTTTTAAAACGGAACGGTGGTACTACTTATGTCAGAGGTTCAGATCGTGAGGCCATCTGTGGAAACTATAGGGATTCTTGCATTTGGCACGCAGAGCATTGCAGATGACATTTCAATTTAAATGAGCAAGTTGACTGACTACTATACCAATTTCTAATTAGAAGAATAAATCTTTCTGCACAATAGGTTATCTGTGTGGGAAAAGGCTCAGTGAACTAGTCTTCTGTACTCGAGATGCAGAAATGGGCCAAATGGCAGAAACCTAAGTTTTCACTCTGGGTAGTGTAATTTTTTTTGAACCAAAGAGGTGTTTTGCTTTTAATAAGAAAAAAAAAAAAAGTGTGTATAGAGATACACGTACACACACATATGGCAATGGACGTTGTACCTGGCTGACCTTAACTGTGAGAAGAAACTCCAATAAAAGAAGTTTGTTACACTGACTTGAGGAAATCTGTCAGTGGCTCAAGGTGCAGAGAAAGATGTGCTTTCGAAACTAGGCTACGAGTGCATGAAGGTGGGCGTTCACGGCATTGGTGCCACACTCGTTGGGGACTCAACCAGATTATGGTGGCTTCATGGAGCAGACGGTCTTTACCTTGTCCAACTTTCATGAGGATCTTCATGGCTCTTGTCTGGCACACCCCTCCCTCCTGGTTATCCAGGCCCTCCAAAGACCCATTTGATGTAGCTGATTAAAAATAAAATGGACAAAACAAAAAAATAAAGAAAAATCAGGAAATCAATAAGCCAAGTTTACATGAACATGAAATGTCTGAAAACAATTTGAAAAATAAGAATTCACTCTTAGTCACAAGTTTTCGGAAAGTATGGGATGCTGAAAGCCAAAAAATAAAAAATAAAGAAAATAAAGAAAAATGGATCCTGTCAACACCGCTGCACGTATGCTATCTGGTTTCAAGTTCACTTAAGCGCTTTCTCCTTCCTTCAGAATCAACTGATTTAGGGTCAGTCCATACATAAAAGGGACAGGACCTTCCAAAAAGCTTACTATTTCAGGGTTGGCCTCAAAAGAGCAAAGTAGTTAATACAGTAACTTTAAAATGTGGTAATCATCGCACAACACCTGCTTCCTCTACTACAGATTTCCTGCTTCGAGAACAATTAGCTCGATGCTCCCTGTTTGCCAAGCATCCAAGTTCGGTAAACACTAAAAGAGGAGACTCCCACACCCCCTCCTTTTCTTTCCCCGCCTTATGTGAGATGAAGAAGTATGTTAGGATTCAGGTCTTCCACTTCTGAAGTTTTCTCTCCATCATTTTGCACTGGACTGGAAATAATAAGTGTGTTATCATCACCAAGACCGACCTCAGACAGACTCTTCAACCAAGCTACCTGCTGGAGCACAGCTTGACCGACAGAGGGGACCACGCGCGCCCTCTGCTCTGTCAGGGCCCTGGGGCAACCCTGGGGTATGAGGGGAGATTGTGCAGTACCCACTTGCCTCCTGTTTAGCTCGAGTCCCTTCCCATTTCAAGAGGGAGGAGGAAGGACAGGACATTTGACCACTGTCAGTACTTTTAAACAAACAGCCTATGCTCCACTGTGTGTAAACACGTTGCTGTTGCGTCTCCTTAGGACGGTGAGTTCTCTGAATAGCGTTGTGACTAAAGCTGTAAAAAGACTGCCAGGTACTTTGCTAAGGAAGAGGACTTAAATTGCAGGTCAAGTTCCAGAAGAAAAAGAAGGTGGAGGGTGCTAGACGTTCCCATTCTTCCAAAGTTCAAGGGGCAAGGAACAGAAGTGTTTCATATACATTTCTGTGCGGTAAATCATTCTCTACTTTGATTATCAAAGGCTGGTCTACTAACACTGTACTTTTCAAGGCACGGAAACAGGGACAGAATTTCTGGTAAAAATACATCCAAAGGCACTCTTTCAACGGGTTGTTTGTTTTCCAAATGGTGGACCGGCCAGCAAGGTCTACACGCACACATAGCAATACGTGGGCTACAGAGTTACAACTTTTACTTTCACTGCTTTGAAAAACAATGGCTGCTTCTTGTGTGTATAAATATCTCTGTGCTTATCTGAGTGTTTCCTTAAAGTTTACAGTCTTACGATCAGACCTCACTCCTCCGCTGACACTGGTGCCGAGTTTCTCCTGGGAAAATGGGCAAGATGGCCATAATCATTCTGGGGGTAAAAAGTAGACAGTCTCCTCTTGTAGATTGTTGAGAAAATGTTTGGCAGAGAAGTTAAAACAAATACCTAAAAACTTTATATGCCTCTGTGAATCTAATAAAAAAAAAAAAATCGTTTTTTTCCTTCCCCATTTCTCCACCCGCTTTCTCTTTTCCCTCCTCCAGACAGTTTCCTAAATTTCGAAGGGCCCTTTCCTCCCAAAGCCATGAAACAGTGTGGCTGTCTTCGTGCAGGCACTGTTTGAGGGCAGGTGCAGAACAATGCTATCATCTCTATTTAATCTTTCTCAAAAATTAGGATATGTTTTCATGTAGAAACCCTGGAAAGCTGAGGTCTAGCCAATGGCTTCAGAAGTTTACTTAATTCAAATGGAATCTCAATGTTTTCTATGCTGTAGGCACATAAATGCACTTTCATGCAAAAGTGCACCCAAATGCACAGCGAAATGACCTCTTTCTAACGGCTTAACAAATATGTTAAAAATACGATCTGAAGGGTGGTGCACAGAAAAGGCGGGGGTGGGGTGGGGTGGGTAGAGCTTTGTTTGTTTGAACCTGGAGGTCAAAAGGTCAAAGATTCAGATCTGAAGGAGAAAAAACAATGAATACCAGAGTGGGTAAGACAAGACGTGGTAGAGAAGAGTCACCGTGGAACAGAATTCAAACCTGCGTCCTCAAAGATAAAAGCTTCTGACTGCTTCTACCAAGTCCATTTGGAAGCAGGAGGGCTGCACCTCATTTGGGTGATTTTTTCTTTTGATTTTAATTTGTAGGTCACCGCCCTTTCTGGATACCAATGCTTCCGTGCAGAGTGCTTGTGGGTGTGCCCTGAATGCTGTCCAAGTGACCCCCAAATGTAGAGAGCTCCAAGAATTCAAATTAAACTGCAATCTGTAATTTAGCATCCACAGACTATAAGATGGTAGGAGGAAAACTGTGTAGCCGGAGAATGAATCTGCTCTCCATTTTTAACAGTTGAAACTTTTTTTTAATTCCTTGAGGGAGGAAGAGCCTTCAAGCCCTGAGCTGCACAGAGAGAAATGGGAGCTTGTGCCTTTGTCTGGTTCTTGGAGATCAGAGGCCGATGCTGGTTTGGCGAGGCGGGGGGGGGGGGGGGGGGGGGGGGGGGGGGGGGGGG